AGGGTTGCAATCACAGCCACACAAGCACTGGCAATTGCCAAGGAAAAGCTGTTAGGGAGAGGGAGGGAGACTTTTGGGTAGAAGGGAAGTGAGGAGAGATTTGGAGCTGTGAGGAAAGAAGTTGCATAATCTTTTTCACTCCCCTCTGTGTTTTGGGAAATGAAGCTTTGCGCATTCTCGATAAATAAACAATAGTGCTTTAGCGATAGCACCCCTGGCTCCATCATCCACTGTTTCTTCTAATGGGAAATAGCTCACAAAGCAGAATTGCTAACCACAAAGATCAGAAAAGGGAACAGTATTATGCCTTTTTGAAGAAATAACCACTCATTGAATGAAAGCATGAAAGAATATTTTTGTTTCCTAATACCTGAGACATGTTAAAACTTACTCCTTCCCAAATATCTAAAAGAAATTAATGTTATTCTGAAAAGCCATCACCAGTATCTGGTGATGATGGGCTTCCTCTGGGCATCAAATGTGCGCTGTCTCCCTTGTCCCTGAGCTCTTTCTGAAATGAGCCTTGCGGTTCTGAGATTGTGTTCATTGTGCATCTTTCAAAATGCCAGTCAGGATGGCCAAGATCTAACCAGTACTGAGCACCACAGCAGGATTCTTCCCATGGCTCATGTGGTACACTGTGTAGCTTTGTAATTCCTGGAGTACTTCCGTGAACTCAGCCAGGACAAAACCCGAAAAGAGAAGATGATGTCCCTGGCTTAGGGATGAGAAAAGGTCTTGTATGGTGTGGGTGAACATACCCAACCCTTAGATGGATTCTGCAATGATGATCTGCAGTCTGCTAGATCCTGCAGTCCAGTTTAGGCAGCTTGACTTGATTCGCTGAAATCCAGACAGAAATACTGCCTCAGTGACAAATTAAGAAGCTGTAACTCTCCTTGAAGTTTCCTGGAACCTTACAGACGTGCTCAGTGGCACAATAAAATCTAGTCTGACTTCCACCTTAACCCAAGGCAGCTGTAGTGAAGCCTGTGATGTTAATGGACTGAATAGGACTTAATGGACTGCAGCTCTGAAACCCTAATGAATGCAGGCTGGAGCCCTCCCCACTCTGAATTACCCCCACAAAGGTAACAGCTCTCTGAAGGTGACTATTTAGCCAGAAATAGTGGTACAGTGCGTATGTTCTGGCTTGACATTGCTGGGGCAGTTAATTTTTACTAAACTATTTCTTGTATTTTTGCCTCTATGCGTGTGTATTTGGCTTCCAGCTAACTGTGTGCATATCTGCTTCTTGGGGGGGGGGGATAAATACATACAATGACAAAGCCTACGTAGAATGGCAGGTTCCTGGGCACAGGTGAGTTTTCTGGTATGGAAAATCAGGTTGGGTGTTTGCCCCATCCAGTGCCCATGTTACGGGACTTGATCACAATGACTTATCTTTCTAGCATTTTATTTTAATTGAATCATTTTTATTGAGTCCCAAAGAGGAAAACTGCCTCATTGTCTTTTTGTTTCTTGGAAGCAATTTATCAACTGTAATCCCAAGAGAGATGGAGAAGGCATGATGATAAAAGCAGAATCTATTGCTTAGGTTGCATTCCTTTTTCAGAATGCTTAGGCTGCATCTTTTCCTCAGAAAAATCAAGTTACTTTGTTTTATTGCCACTTGAATGTTTCTTATTTACTACTTGTCCACATAGACCAACCTGTCCCTCTCAGTATTCAGAGCTCTGCCTTGCTCATACCAACCTTGCTGTTCTCAAAGGCACAAATAAGCTTTTACTCCTGTTACCTCTCCCATAACCTGTGTAGCCTTGAGAGAAACCTGGCTGCTACTCTTCCCTGTTCAGTCATCAGCAAACCTTTTGCCGAGTTCACTTTGTGAACACATCTGTTCCTTCTGCCTGCCTTGCAGAAGGGATTTTAGGAAAGATTAACCCTCTGCCAATTTGGGGCATTTTATTTCAACAAGTTGGCCAGCTCATCTCTGTGGGTAACTGTTGTCATCACGGGGGTGAGCACAGCTCTCCTGGGGATCATACAAAATGAGGACTTACTTGTGACCCCTGACTCCGAAGGCTGCTGTGTGCCTGTTTCTCTTTGCATCTTCTTAAAAACACAGTGAATTTGCTGAACTGCCTGTCAGAGTTGGTCGTTGCACACTCGCTCTGCAAAGGGACTTCCAGCTCACCACTACCAGGATCCCCTTCTGAATACTTGGAACACCTCATGGAGTCGGCAGAGCCTCGACCAGGTCCAGGAACGTGCTCCAGCTGGGTGCCTAAAGGCATTGGAAACTTTTGTGTTTTATTGAAACTGGGCCCTTGGCTCTTGGAGTCAGCGTTAGGGGAATATGAGGCTTGCTTAGGTATGTGCCCGCTTCCTGATGTGGTCCTGTCGGTGAGAGAGGTCACTTTCCCCAGAGGGATCACCATTTCTGCTCCTGAAGGTTTCTCTTCCAAAGCCGGTAGCGCCGTTAGTGTGTTAATTGTTAGTCTAAATTAAGCTATCCGATTTTGCCTGGAGTGAAGCAGGGAGCAATTGTTCACCTGAATTGCTCGATGCGTGTGACAGCTGACAGCGAGGTAAGCAGCTAGGCCTGGGGATCTGCTCAGCGGTGGGAGAGGAATGTGTGTCCGCAGCCAATTTTGCTTTCAGACAAGGGTCCACAGGAGCTAGCATACTCGATGGGGATTTGACTAACATCAAATAAACATAATATTAAGGAAGGGGACGTGAATTCTGAGAGGGGTGCCTCTCCATGCCTGGTGCTCAGTCACCGACCTGGCTATCTAAGCCAAGCCAGTCCTTCTTTAGGCAAAACCTACCCTGGTGATAGCTGTGAGAGCCCTTCTCCCAAGGAGCATAGTGAGAGCAGTCATCACATTTTGGAAGACCCAGGCTGAACTCTCTCTACTGCCAGATCCAGAGCAGGGATTGGAAACCAGCCCACTGCCCTCCCGAGACAACGGCCAGAGTCAGGAGCTCTTCGGCGGCAGTGGGTATCTGCCCTCTCCGCTTTGTACGAAACAACTCGCAATTCATCGAGCCGCAGGACTGGTGGTGGGCAGGCAGCTGGGTTTCAGCTTCTGCTGCAAGCACTGGATGTCTTTCAAAGGTTAAGTAGCCGGTGGGCTCCCTTCAGCACTGAAGAGATGTGAATGTGAGGCACGCAGCTAGAAACTTAAGTAGTAGATGTCTTTATTATGTATGGAAAATGTAACATTAAAACAACAACATTCTTTTTAAAAGCATATCATAACTTGAAGTATCTGCAATGATGTTACTAATTTGTGCTTTTAATTCCCAGTTAATAACTCCTTTCTAAACGTAGATGGCAGCAGTACAGTACCCCTTTTTTATGAAGATTGACATCTGTGAATACTGCCTTTGAGATAGGCCATGTGTATGTGATTACTTCGTTGGTTACTGGGCACAGTAAAGAATTATGCTGAATAAATGAACCATTACTTTCCTTTTTTTGCAATCCTTATCTTTCTGTGTGATTGTGACTTGGTCAGTGTTGAAGTCAGCACTTTTATTTTTCTTCTTTTCAAAGTAAAGGGCTTTTTAATTAGAAATCCCACAGTTGACTGTGGGAAGATATCTGCTCCCTAGAAGAGCCCTGAGAGAAGTCCTTGCTGGAGAGAGTAGCCCAATTATGTTTGATTATTCATCACTCATATGGACTTACAATGGAGGTTGTTTTCAAGCTTTTTCTACCTAATATTTCACATTAGAACCCCAAACCGTGACCGGATCTGAACTTACTGGGGCTCAGCAATAGTAGAGAGATGTAAGCAGCCAAAATGCATTTCTCTGTTGTTCCAGCTGATACTAATCACTGGCACAACTCTTGCTTTTGTAAGCAGATAACAAGGCAAGGAAAATGGGTGCCTCCTCCTGCCAAGAGGAGTCCTGGAGTTAGAGCCCTTGATTTGTGCTGATTAGAGACCACTGTGAGCAATATAAGCAATTGCCCTGAGATATATGGAGGAGACTGCTTCTTTGGGGTTAGTGCTGTCTAAAAGGAGCTTAAAAAATTATTTTTTTTTTAAAAAATCCCAAAATATCTGAGCTGATCAGTTTGACTGAGAGATCAGTCCATGTGAATACTACTATCCTGGGTATTGGAAGAATCCCTGCTAAGGATGCTATTTTTGATAATAACAGCAAAGAGGAGAAAAATAAGCCACAAGTCTAAAACATGCTTGAAGAATGCTGTTTTCCAGTTCCTAATTTTATGAAAAAGAAGGCATTTTTGTTTAAAGCTTGAAGACCTTTGTGTTGAGAAGTGATTAGCCTCAGTGCAATCAGGTATGCTATTGTCCATGTAAATACTTCATACTGAGGTTTCATCCAAACATTTAGTTTTCTGTTTCACTTCTCATAATTTTTGGTGGTTTTCATTTGGTGAATGCAAGCATCAAAAACTGGGGTCAGATATTCAGGAAAAAAACAGTGTTGTGAGGGCAGGTTTGGCTTGGTCAAAGCAAATGCCATGGAAAATATTGATTCAATGGAATCCAGTTGGAGCTCTGTTGACTAGAGAGGGGACCCAAAAAGTCTGTCTAGCTCTGCAATAGCCATCCACATGATTGACATTGGTAGCTGGGTGAGAAGGATCATGCTTTTACTGTTTGAACGGCCAGCAATAAGCTCCCCGGGAAAGAACGTGTAAAACTGTCAGTCTCATCTGCGTTTATCAGAGTTATTTTAACTAGAAAACTCTTCTGCAGTAAGGCAGAGTTTGCTCCCCAAAGCAAAGGCATTTCACAGGGGTGAAGTGTGCAACACCGGTGGCTGTTGTGTGAAGTTGCCATTAAGGGTCTTGAGCCTTGGGGTTTTGAAATGAGAATTTAACTTGTTATTAGCAGTCCCTTGAGGTCTCATTTCCATGTCAGTGAATTGCCTGGTTTTGTGCTCAGCAGCTCATTTCTCTGCATTTTCAAGTTTCACCTGTTTTATTTTATCTTGGAGTTAGTAATTTTATTACAAGGCTTATTTTTCTTCTTTTTTTTTTCCTTTCTTAGGGGGTTGTTTATCACCATCCATGACAAAGGCCATATTGCAACAATGCTAAACTCTTGGCCTGAAGAAAATATTAAGGTATGTGGCATGTCTTCTGTGGACTGGGAAATTACAGGGAGTTGAGTGCAAAATGGGATATTGAATGGAACTGCTTGGCATTATTTACAGAATTGCCTAATTAAAAGGACAGGCAAAGAATTACTCCCTTCCTCAGAGAATTTCCAGGCTGGACTTCAGTTCAGCTTCAGGTTCCAGCCCAGGTTGGATTTAAGAGACTCTGTCATGTGTGTATGTAGTCAAGAACAACTTTATCAAAGGTAGCAGGACCTTGGTCAATAAAAAGAGTGTGCATGGTAATAAATTTGTACAGAATAGGGGTTCTAGTGAAGAAGTAAGATATTTGTGTTGAAGAATTGTTTGGCTAACTTGTAACTTGTTAGATGTACCAAAGCTCTTTAAGATATCTCTGTAACTGACTTGCTTGTAGGACTCCTTCCCAAATCCAATGAGTCATGCAGCATCCAAAACACTGGCAACTCTGCAAATAATGTTTGATATCCAGCAGCTGAAAATGTTACTGACACCCCACCCAAAAAGTGATCTTGTGAAGTGTTTTTCACTAGACCTCGGGGCTGGGCAAGCCCCTGGCATGAAATAAAATCAACACTTAAGACAGGTCTTGCCAGTCACCTCCTTCCATCAGGCTGAAAGTACGTGTGCCTGGGAATTGCCCTGGCTGTTGACAGAGCTTTGGTCCCCTATCAGTCAGCTGTTTCTTCCAGGAACAAAGGTTTGGCAGCTGAGAAAATCTTGCAAGCTTTTTCCATTTCTAAGGGGGAAAAAAAAGAAGAATTTAGCATGCTTCCAGAAAAAGTAGTCATGTTCCTATAATCTTGTCTTTGGAACCATGGAGAACAGATACAAACTAGATACTTTGTCCTTGCTCTGTCCAAGGATCTCAGTATTTCCATTTGTTTCTGACTCAGGACTGTGAGCAGAACTCATTATGGCTAATAGATATGTTTTTGCAGATGGGGAAACTGGCACAGAAAGATTAGAGACTGTTGTTGAAACAGCCCCGTCTGGCACCCAAAACAGACCATAGGAAGGGCAGTGGTCCATGGAAGAGATTCAGACTAGCTACCTTCTAGGTTTGCCAGACTACAAAGGCAGCTAATTTCATCAGTATCGCTGTTTTGGACCACAGAGTTCCCTGTGTCTTTGTACACAAACTTCTTCGTGCCTGAACTGGTAGGCACTGGAACATTTGAGATTTTGAGATAAGTAGGGAGGCACCTGGACTGCACCTGGAGGGACCCAGGTTTTTTGAAAAGGCTGAGCACCAGCTCCAGTAAGTCCCATTAAAGACAGTGAAGAAATACCTGGAGATGCTGCCCACATTTTGCTTTGTGGCTTGTTAGAGCTTTGTGGCAACAGCATTTACTGTGGAAATGGGAAATCTGGGTCGTAGGCCTGGATCCTCTGCCTGGAATGGTGCTCTGCTTAGCTTAGCAAAGCCCCAGCCAAGCTCTGATGTGCCCCACCTCTACCCCACCTGTTGAAGCTGGGCTGCTCTGAAGGAATCACAGTGCCAGAAGCAGAACAAGTGAGAAGCAGCCATTTCTGAACATACTCCTGTGGGGGTTTTGTGTCTTTTCCAGAGTGGCTAATGATTCCTGCCATGAAGAAACATCTGATGAAATGCCGACAGTCCTCATCAGTGTCTCCCCTTGCTAGTTTTCTCTCTGGTTCCTTAATCTTGTACTCTTTTCTGCACGATGGCCCAGCTAAAGCATGAGGAATGCAGGGAATCATACAGGATAGCATTGTGGTAGGGTGTCATCCTGGCAGCTATGAGTTCAAATTACTTCAAAGTGAGGATAATCTAGAAACCATATATTCTATGCAAGGACAAGTGTGCTGCCATGCTAGCTACTGCACAGGCCTTCCCTCCCTCCTTCCCTCCCTCCTTCCATAGGATGCTCACCCTAGAAGTGCACTCAGCATCTTGAATCCCCATCAGGATTATGGCTATACTGGGCTGTTCAAACTCATCCTTCCATGTAGTGTTTCCCATTGGTGCACTCAAGGCCGAGTATCAGTTCATCCCGTAAAGGCTGACGTCATGCAATCAATACAGAGAACTGGGAATGCCAAGAGCAGCGCTTGCCTCTCTGCGTTGCCTCGGCAGCTTGGAGGTCATCGTAGTGCTCTGGATCACGCTGCTGAACCACACGCCTCCTCCTTAGGCATTGCAAAACTGGGTGAGCTACCTACATTGGGTAACTGGATACAGGCTGTGGTCCAGAGTCATCTCAGCATCAGCTGCCTGAAGACTCAGTGCCTAATCTCAGTTTGTGAGTACTTCTGCAGTAATCAATGAAGAAGGAGATGAGCATCTTCAAAGAGAAATACCCCTTTCATCCCTTCCCAAAACAGCTGCTGGAGGGAGGAGATGCACTCTGGACGTTTCCGTCTCTCCCCATCAGCTATCAAAGAAGTTTGGAAACCAGTTAGATGATTGGCTTAAACTGCACACCTAACCTTTAGCCAAAGGCTTGACTAGAGTCATCAAGAAAATTTGTAGCACAGCTGGAAGCAGAAAACAGGTTCCCAATTGTTAAACCAGTGGTCTGGTTAGAAGGGTCTGTCCTGCTCAGCCAGAGATTAATGTCCGGTTTGTTGAGTTCTGATCACGTGAACGTAACCGATTAAAAACATTGCTTTAATGTGCTCGTGTATCAGGTACCCACTGAAACTTTGTGCTTTTTTTTTTTTCGGTATTTTTCAAATCCAAAGAGCTACAATCAAATGGGGATCCAGTTTCTCCTCTCTGACACAGATAGCAATGAACGTCTCCCATGCTGTATTTTCTGTTCTCCTGTATTTTTCAGTGTTACCTTGAGGAGCTTTGGTACCTATAGAGTGCAGCACATTTAAGGCTGAAGAAATTTTCTCTCTCTGATGGATATCTAAGTGCTATCGAGAAGTTCTTAGGTTTGCCTGAGACTACTTACTTGTTTGGATGAAAGAGGATATGTGCCCCAGAGAAATATTTTGATTCATTAGAACTTAATTATTTTTTTAAAATATTTCTCTGCATAGTTAAGCATTTAACTCCTTTTCATATAATTTGCATCAGTTTCAGGATAAATCTGTAGCAGTGCATGTGCTTGCTGCTTTTCGAATTCCCATTACTGCCTTCCAGTCCCAATTGCATCTTCTGGGTGTGGTAAAGAAGTGAGCACACACCCAGAAACAGATGGAGCCCACCCAAAAAGAGACTTTCCCATTGCTAGCACTTTGCATTGACTCAGAAGGAAAAACAAATAGGAGAATGTTCAAAAATAGAGGCGGATAAGTGTATCACTGCCATGACTGAATTTCCCGTGTCAGGGATTGTCCAACCTCTAACCTAAGGATAGGTGTACAGTCCTTTTAATTTTAATAGGTTTTTCATTGAAGGATCACTTTTAGGAATTCTGACTCCTGGTGACAAGAAAGTGGCACCAGCACAACAACAAATATTCTACATATAGGAGACCATTTCAATATACACATTTCAAAATAATCCCTATTACACATACTGGTTGTCACTATTATTATGTGCATTGCAACCTGGAATGTATCATGCCTCAAACTACCAGAGTTTGGCTCTTTTGACTAGAGGGCAAAACAGATGTAAAAGGCAGAACAGATGCATGTGTCCTCTGTATCTGTAGTTTCTCCTCAGGCTTATTGCTGAAACAGTGGTTTAGGTTGAGGGAGAAAATAGCCTTGTGATGTGTATATAGTTTATGTTGAATAAGAAACTGAAACAGGTGAGTACAATTCTTCCTGAAATAGGAAAGTGCAGCAAGAGATTTATTCCATTCCTAAACAATGAAGTGCTTCTCCATCGCAGCAATAAACCAATGCATCTTTAATATCCCCCGCTTCCCAAGGAGGAACATCTGTTGAGATAGCTTCTAATCTCTCATTCTCTTATTTCTCACTAAAGGACATGCATGTGAATGTCCTATGTCCTAAGTTTAGCGTTAACTTTGCAGATCAGCAAATAAAGAACTTCTCTGCAGTCGTCTTTGAAATCCAAGCTAGACTTTGTACTTGAGTCCCCCACAGTCTGATAAACCATTTGATTTGAGCGCTCTGTTCTCTGAAGTGCTGGGACAGTGCTGAAAGCTGAGGTTTATTATTGTATTTACAACTTTTTTTCCCACAGTGAGACTAGAGACCAGTATATTCCTGTTCTTACAGGATTTCAGAACTGCCCCAAAGAGTGCCTGGCCCTGGGGACAAAACCGACAAACAGAGTAGTTCACCTGAAAATTGGGAAGTTTTGTTGGATCTGCTTGGTCATTTGCCTCCTAAGGACTTGATGATGTACAGTGTGGGTTGAACAGCTCAACTTTAGGCTTTTAATTTAGACAACATTAAGCAGGCTTTTACTTCCCTTCTTATTACAATGAAATGATACCATAAAAAGAAAAAGCTACAATTACAGATCAGAGATTTTGGTGAGGTAGCACGTTACAGTATTACTGAAATGCAAAAGGCCAATTGCACAAAGAACTAAATGGTAATTTTTTAACTCCCAAGTGGGTGGGAACGAAGGTCTGATATTAAACACACAGCATGGAGCCCCTCTGCAGCCCATGCTGCTGCCCGTGCTGATGGCTTCTCTCTACCTGCCTTGTAGTCAGGGGGACCAGAGGCAAAGGGACCCAGTTGTAATGAGTTTTGGGTTGATTATCTGATGTTGGCTACTCCACAGCTACTCTACAACGGTGTGAAGACATGAGCTTGTTAATTCTGCAAATGTGGTTTATAAGCACAAACACTTTTGTACAGAGCTCTTTTTCCAGAAAAAGAGAGGAAAAATCAAGGCTAGATCTCTTTTGTGATGCTTCTTGTTATACAGCTGAGGATGCACAAAAAGCCATGCTGGTTGGGCTCTGCTACAAGTGAACTGAAGTGTTGGCAGGCAGAGCTGCTGCTCTTCCACACTGCGAGCAGCTACCCATTAACCACATTATCTCTGCCCCCAAAAATGAACAGCCCTCTATCACTAATTAACATGGTGTCATGTAGAAGGACCAAATATCCATTGCACAATGCAACTGCAAAATGGCATCGATGTGAAGACAGTGGAGCTGGTTCTGCTTCTAGAGCCTTGGCAACACCATACAACAGTCTCTTTTGATCCTCCTAGGCTATCGTGGTGACAGATGGAGAGAGGATTCTCGGTTTAGGAGATCTAGGAAGTTATGGCATGGGTATCCCAGTTGGGAAGCTTGCTTTGTACACAGCTTGTGGTGGAGTTCACCCACAACAGTGTCTCCCTGTCCTGCTGGATGTTGGCACAGACAACGAGGTAAGACAGTTTTTCATAAATCTGACGGAAGGGGAGAAAGAATTGAGATTAGTCCGTAAATGAGGCCCTAGATGCCGAGGCAAAGCCGAAGACATCCAAGATGAGACGATGGCTAGACCAGCACTGCAGGGAAGTGGGCAGGTTTCATTCCTGTTTGATGCTCAAGAAACCCTTGCTCTTATGGGGAACTGAAATAAACACTAAGTAGCCTCATGGTCCCCTGGTGAGAAGACTCAGAGTGTCGCCAGTTGGAGCTGAAGGATCAGCTCCTCCTTTCAGTGTGGCAAGGTGAGTTGAAAGATTTTGTACAGGAAGTCCCGGATTTATTCTTCCTCTGGTAATTGTAAGAAAACAGGCAGATACTCGTGTCTGCGTAGAGGTGACTGTATTCCAGAAAATGGAGAATCCCTAGTGGGTGGTTTGGGGATGATTAATTTCAGTGTTTTGTCAGATTGCGCACTTTACTGCACACTGTAACCAGACAAGAGGACTCCATCTGTTTTCAGATTTTTGCCTTATGACTCTGGCTCAGAAAGGCCAAAGTGCAACATTTTAGCAATGCCAGAATGGACATCTGTGAGGATGTCTTTTTTAAAATGAATATCCTATAGTTATTTGTGATGGCCTAGGTTTGTCCGTTTTTTTAAAATGTGTTTGTGCCTCACTTGACCCCAAGTAAACCAAACACGTGTTTCTTGAGAGAAATAACAAATCTGGGGTATAAGAGCTTTGAGTTTATGTATGAAAGCAAATGAGTGCCGACATTTTCAAACGTGCCTATGCTCACTGGAAAGCTAGATTTTCTGCACCTTTTTCACTCCAGACCCAAGTGTCTCACACTGGACACTTGAAAAGAATGAAAGCAAGCAAAATTAGTGGCCACAGATGATGTCTGGGATGAGATTCCCAATTACCTCTTAGGTCTCTGGTCCCAGGATTATTTTATCCCTTTAGCATAGTGGCCTGTCATGGACTTACGGAATATAGGATGTGCTCGTCTCAGCCTGAGCCACGGTCTTTCCTGAAAAGTGGGATCTCTGAGTTCAGACCCTCTGAGGCTAAAGCAGGAATTAAGGCTCAGTCTCTCACTTCTTGGAGTTTCCAGTCAATAGAACATTGTACTTGACTTTGGCTCCCTCATCTCTTCCTTCTCCTCTGTGCTGATCTGCACGCCACCGAGTGTCAACTCTGAGCCCTGGAGCAGGAGCTCCCCTCCAGAGGGACCTGGGTGCAAGTGCTTCCTTTGCCATGGGAAGCTTCTGACCATGTATCACCATCTGTTTCTATCTCAGCATCCAGCGGGACACTAAAATCCAAAGTGGCACCAATAATTTTTAGGCATCTCCAAGGGTCAGATGGTGTCAGAGAAAGGGACTCTCAGGATCAGTCTTGGGGACTTTTGTTCTGCCCGAGATCAAGCGTATCTTATGTGTCCAGGAACAACTTGGTGAAGCCCATTTCCCCAGCTGGGATTAATATATAGAACTTGCTGTTTTCCAGCAATGTAAACACTATATTTCCTCACAATATAAATAATTTGTTTATTTATTTAATGGCTTTCTTGTGTGCATAAACCCAGCTTAACCCAACCCTAAGCATGTCCTCCAAGCATCCTGCCCCACGACTAAACTCTTACCAGTGCCGAAATAAGACACCTCCTGTAGGCGTTCATCCTGTGCATCTCTGCCTGTTAATATATGTTGAGCCTAGAGTGATGGTGTTGCTAACACAGGCACCTCAGGTAGAATGGAGTAAATATAGCAGTCATACTATATTTTTAGCATCAGTTCCCAGCTTGTCTTTCTGACAGTCCATAATATTTTGTATACTCTTTCAGCAAATCAGTCTCTTTTCAGAGCTTGGCATTTCTCAGCTTGCCAATGGGAGAATTTTATATTCCATAAGCTGGCCCCAGAGCACATGGCACTATAGGAGCAATCAGTGAAGTAATGCAAATGGGTCTGCTTTCTGTTTCATGGTCCTGAAGAGTTAATTTATCAACTCAGAGGAAAACCTCTTTCATCTTTCCTTCTAAGGGAAAACAGCTGTGGCTGTAAAACCAGATCTAATTTTAGTATACCTGCCAATATTTAGGGCCCATATGGCTGCAGGACAATAGGTTTGTGATGGCTCATCCCCTTCTGTGGACAATTCAGTTCCTGAAATTGGAAAGGAAATAGAGTTGCTTCGCAGTGACTCACGGAGATGTTGGCCCACCTGTCTTCTGCCACTGTTTGTCCTGTAATTTTTCCCAAAATATGTGCTGTTTCTGTGCTGACCCAGTCCTTTTTAGGTGGCTTAGGAGTCCTGACTTAACACTTGCTGGGTTGGTAGGAGGAATGGCCTGGGTTTTTATTCCCAACAGGAGCCAAAAAGTAAAGTAATCTGTTTTATGAAAATATTTTGCCTTGACACCTGCAGATAACTGGAGGTGAGGACTAGGTAGGTACAGAGCTGGGGAACATTTTGGCATCTTATCACTGGTTCTGGTTAGCTCAGGGCTGGCACCTAAAGGTCTATATGACACATGTCATTTCAGGTTACTTCAGACGATCTTCATTGCTCAAAACGCTGTTTATGGTCAACAGCTTTCCTGGTAACCTCAGTGCAAAATTAAGAACGGATTGAACAGTAAGCACTTCCCACGCAAGGTCAGTTTTATTCACTAGGAGTGAGACACCTTGGCAGGGAGCCATGGTAGAGCTGTTCTGGGGATGTAGAGCTTCATTTCCTATGGCAGTCAAGAAGCATTACATCCCTCTGACTTTATTTACACAAAAAGATAGTCCGTAGCTTCATACAGAAACACTTTCTGCTCAGGAAGAGCTGTGTGAGCTGGCCTTCACTTCATAGTAAGTAAAATTAATATGACCACAACAGACAAACTTTTTGGGTAGGATGGGACATAAATCTCCATTCATTCATGGAAGAGAAGATGTCAACAGAATTGCTTTGTGTCCTAGGCTCTCCTGAGTGATCCACTCTATATTGGACTGAAACACAAGAGGGTTCGTGGGAAACAGTACGACGAACTGATTGATGAGTTTATGCAGGCAGTTACCAACAAGTAAGTGGGATTATATACATGGCTCCTCTGGGCTGCTTCCATTTAAGAACAAATGTTGCAACTCGTGAAATAAACATTAGTATAATTGATCGAGCAAAGAAAGGTCATTTAAATGCAAGTCTCCTGGGTGGTCTACAAATGACTCTTTGTGCTTGAGCACTCTGTGTCAAAAATATTTGTCTTCAGAGAATTGAAATGGGACTAACTATTTATAACCATTTCCTGTCCATATAGGCCAGAGGTGTCAAACGTATGCCCTGTGGGCTGTATCTGGCCTCCATCATGCATTTATGAGCCTCATTCAGCATCAGCAGAATCTAAACTTTAGATTGTTTACATTTTGTGAAGGAAGTCTCTAGCTTTCACCATTGTGAAGGAAATAATCTAAATGGAAATGGCATGTTACTCCACATGGTGATGTCTGTGGGAGTCTGCAGACTGCCTGTCCGTCGCTTTGTTAAAAACAGGAGCTTCCCTGCTGACATTTAAGTCTGTGGAGTGAGAAGGCGAGGATTATAAGCACTGTCTTTTTAACGGTGGGACAGACCAAGCGCATATTTCCATTCTTACTTACTAGCTGGGATAGAGGGTTTCTGATGCAACTGCCCACTTACGGTGTAAAGATACTTGCTGTCAACCAGTGCTATAGCCTCTATATTTGTGAATATGAACATGATAACACTGCCTTGCCTGTTTGATTAAAAATACCTAAGGGTGACTGCAGAGAAGAGAATTTTGTGTTTGTGCTCTGGTTTGTCCTCCTTTATATTTAATAAGAAAGCTTGACTGAAATGTCAATTGATTACAGTGTAGTATTATGTTAGATGCTTGTCAGTTATCTAGGGGGAAGAAATTCTTGCAGGCCAGAAAATTGGTAAAATACAACTGGGAAATCACAAGAGGTTCTATAAGTAGAAAAGATTTAAGAGTTGTCAGGGCTGATTTGTGGGGGTTTTGTTTGTTTTGATTGTAGTCACTAATTAATCCTTCAAGGAAACAATCTCAGTTCCCTCTGGCCAGGAGACCACAGGAGTATTGCAATGTTGGGGGTGATAATAGAATGGGAACAATAGAACGAGAACCCAGATGATGATCTTGGCCATCATAAGTTTGGCTCTGAGATTTATGCTTGTGGTCTTAAATGCAAAGCTCCTTGCACCCACTGCTGCTGCGATGTCAGTGACAGGGCCAGAAAGACAATTTGCTTTTTCTATGCTTGCTGCTGGAAAGGAAGGATTGGCTGTTATTTTTCTGTGTTTAGTTTACATGAGCTAATCTCCACATTGAAGGGAGAAGACACTGAGCCATGAAACAATGAACTCTTATCTTGGGAGGAGGTGATGTCATGTCTAATGCTTTCATCCAAGTACTGCGAATCAAGTTCCTGGGGCGCCTGTCCCAGCTTTTCTGTTTCTCTTAGCCAGGATGAATTGCTTGAACACAGTAAGCCCCCAAAAAGTTCTCTGCAAAATGGAGCTGAGAAATTCAACTTTGCACTTCTCCATTCACATCTGTAAAGTATTCGTAGATCCTTGAGTGAAAGGAGCCATTACCCTGTATTATCATCCTGAGCACTTTAAAGCATTGTGGGAGCATGATCTTCTGTGAGCTCTGGGCTGGTGAATAATCCTGCTATCAGCCTGTGTTTGGCAAACTTATATGAAACAGATTCATTTGGTCTCAAATTTCCGCTGGAATGACTGGACGCAACCCAGTAGGAACTCTTACTTCTGTTACGAAAGGAAGCAGAAATTGTTCAGAAGGTCAAGAACATGCTGCTTTATTGTAGCTTGCTTCCACGTATGAGAAAACCTGTGAGTACGAACTGCTGTGATCTTTGGTCTGCTGTGATTTCTTATGCAAGTCTATAACGACACATGCATATTCAGTTATTTGGGGAGGAAACTTTTAGCTTGCCACAAATCTCTTGCAATTTGGGGGTTTCCTTTTCAGCTTGATGTTCATGCTGAAATTCTGTCTGCTTCCTGAGGGTACTTCAACTTCTCATAGAAACCATTTGTCAGTTCCTCTGCAGGACTGCCTCCCACCCTGTCAAATCACTGCTGGCTCAAGGGACATTTGTCACTGAAGTGGAATGTGTCAGAGCCCACAAGAAAGCCAGGGGAGTGAAGATTTACTGTTCTAATGGAATAATAATATCAAACAGATGTCAAATTTCTAGAGCTGGAGACCTCTACAATCAGCAGAAAGGGTTCCTGGTCTCATGATAGCCACCTAATAATGAAGCGAGGAGCATGTCAGAGGCCTCAGAGTTAGCACTTAGAATATTTTGAAATAAAGCGCGACTTCTGGGCAACTGTAGAAAGAAAAGCCCTTTCTAAACCAGCCGGATAAATTTCTGCATTTTCCTGCTGCCTAAACCTCTATTCACTACTCTTTCACCTAAAACACATGAAATGACTGAGCTCTTTAACAAGAGCTCCAAGGTATGTGTTTTGCTCCTCTTGGGAGGCAACTATGTGCAAAATTTGGCCTGTTGAGCCTAGCCTATAACTGAATGAAGCAGCCTGACAAATTGCTGTTTTCTCACAATGAGTAATATGCTTTGTATGGGGAAAATACACTGCTTCAGTTTTTCCTCTCCTCAGTTACCATGGCAAAGGGCAAGTCAGTCTTATTCTTGAACTGGTACATTTTTGTAGGCTGGAATAAATATTCATCTAAAGCGTCCAAGGATCATAATCAGAGTAACCCACAGAATTTCTGGGGCTTGCCTGTATGAGCAAATTAAGGTTAAAATCAAAACACCATGGGAGATGTGTTGTCTGGGCTCTGAGGGGCTTCAGCCCAGCATCTACAGTAACAATATGCATTAATCCTCAGACTCTCTTTCAAAGTGAACTACCACTGGAAATTTTTTTCCTCCTCCTCCTTTTCTCTTAAAATGGTATAGAAACTGGAGACTGGTTCCTTATCTGTTCTGTTCCATTCGCTCTTTCTGTAGTTTCATCATACAGTAACGGTGCAGCGTGGTGGCTCCCGATGTCCCGAGGTGTTGACCGATGGCCTGTCCCCAAGCTCCAGCCTCCATTTCAAATGCCGGCCTCAGACGTTTGCCAGCAGATGCTGAGCATGCAGCCTGAGACTGTACGAGACGCAGTTCCCCACACCAGCAAACTGTGTCGCAGAAGCCTCATTAAGCTGTCATAACTTCACTCCCCTTTCCTTTCCCATCAGTGCTTATTAACAGGGTGACCAGGGAAACAGAAGCTTTCTATCAGCTTGTGCCATATGGCAGAGCACAGAAGGGCATCAGGAGATCAAGCACTCAGTTTCTCAAAATGGGAGAAGAAGGAAAGTAGCTCTGCTGAGTTTGTTTTTCCTTGTGCTTGTTTTATACCTGATTTCTCTTTGCTTAATCCCTTCCCAGTACTTTTACCCACAAACATACCAAGTCAGGTCCCATGTGCTCTCCGGTAAGCAGTCTGCTCCACAACAAGCTGCCTCTGTTTCAGCAGTTCTCCAGGACCGTGGATCACAAATTCACCAGCACCTTTCAAAAACAAAATTACCAGTACAGATGCTCTAGATATTTATTGAAGTGCTGTCGTTATTTATTCAGATGCTGTAGTTAACTTGGCTAATTGATCCTGAAAGACTAGGCTCAAGTCTCTGGGCACCACTGGCCTCCACAAAGCCCTCACGTAATACTGCTCACTCCTAAATTCCCTCAGCATCTGTCTGTCTGCTAGGAGATCTGCACGCTATCGTCACCAGTGCTTTAGCAGGGCTGATGGTATAGACAGACTCCAGCCTTCATGGGAATACAGGGTGGATATTCTCCCTGCCCATCTGCCCCAGTTGCCATGCCCAGAGGGACTCTGACACCATCCAGAAGGGAGAAGTGATGGTGATGGGAAGAGCCACCCCTGCTGTCCAGTAGCCTGGCTTGATATGGGATGAGCTCATCAGCCAGCTCCTATCATCGGCTTTTAGCCACTGGATGATATTTAAAATCAAAGAACAATATTTAAGTTTTATTAGCTTGATTTTCTGCTACTGAGGAATGATTGAGCTCCAGATGTGCTGCTACAGGATCTCTGTGGTAATGGAATTTTATTACCTTGCCTTCAAATCATTCGGGATAACGCATTTACAGATGTCGAAAAGCCATCTGCCCTAGGCTTTCTGTCTGAGCTTTCCACCTAAGCCAGGTTTACCACAGCTGATTTAGAAAGATGTAGCTGGAGGAGATCTGTCTGAGTGGGGAAGGCAGGTGATGAGGCTCCATTCCATGTTGTCTGTCAGAGGGTGACTCAAGGCTACATCTGAGGGTTAGCACTAATATGATTGCATCTCCTGCTTATGCCCTGCTCCTAAGAAGCCTTGTACCTCCAGCTGCAGTCATTCCTCAGACCCACTGCCAGGAGGATGACGTCATTTTGCATAAAAATACAAGAATAGCCATATCAGCCATTAGTGCTGGTCTTAGTGCTTGGAAGTCATGAGATATGCTGTGCAAAAGGGCTGGTTTGGGTTGTTTGGTTGGGGGTTTTAGCTGCTGTAAGAACTACAATGAAGGTTGACTATGATTTTTCAAGATTGTTTTTTCCAAGAACTCTGTGATTGATCTTGGCATGATCTTGCCCCATATCCTGTCTCGAAGAGTAGCTCATAGCAGATGCCCTGGCATATGACTAAGAACAGCCAGCATGCAATCCTTGGCATACTCCCCAGCTTCCAGTAATGTGAGATTCAGGGATTTCCTGCTATCTTTTTGCTTCAAGGGTCACTTTTGTTGACTTAGCACTCACTGAATCCACAGCAGGCTCTATGCCTCAGAGCGTGGTGGTTGTGTTTCTGTTGGCAGAAACCTAGTGAGACTCCTGCCCGACATTAGAAATCATCGGCAGCCTGAGATGATGGTAAGGCAGGCAGCAGTTCCTGTTGGGTTCATTGTGCAGATCTCTGGCATGGGATTTCTAAACCTAGGACCTAGAGCTCTAAATTTTGTATTGGCTACAATACAAAAGGCTACAACTT